AGCTTTATGTCTACTTAACCCCAATATTGTATTTATTAGCACTCACATTTTTGAATTCAGAGCTTAATTTACTATATCCTATTACGGCCTTAGAATGAATATTATTGAACGTTTTTCAATCACTTGGTCGATTATTTTTGCATACCAAGGCCAGAATCTGGTGCTCATCTTGTCCGTATGGCACGGGCAACCAATCCAGGGCTACGATCGGCATTCTGCAGTAGAATAACACCGAGCTTAACAATTCCAAATGCTGGCATTTTTTCCGTGTACTAACTCGCAGCAATCGGTGCGTTGTTCTGGTTCGTACATCGTAAAATGAATTGTAATGAGCCAGCTCGCTTCGGAATGTGCTCATGGACCATATTTAACGCACATCCAAATCAGTCCGCAGCTCGGGGAACATAATTGTCCGGATGTAGTGCTGTTGGCGGAATTCTGCCTTCCATTCCCATGCCGTCAGGTGGAAGTCACTCTCCAGCACTCGTAGCTGAATACTTCGTCCAGAACCACTGCAAATTGTAATTAGATAAATTGAAACCAATTCAACAAACCACTAACCGTGGGGAACTTACTCTCTTAGTACATATCGCTCTCCTCGTTGAACTGATCTCAGGTGAAGTTTCCCAGCCTATTGAAAATATTGAACACAGAAAACACGCGCACAGCGAGACGAACCGATGGAGAATCGCAAGTGCTGTAATCAATGTGATTGGTGAGGCAAAAGGAAACAAGCCAGCTCTTTCATTATCACGACGTTCTTATGCATAATCTAGTGTGACGTAACGTTGGGTCATGCGTAAGAACACCGTGAGAACAAAAGAGTCGACTACATTTCTTCTGCCGCACCTATAGTAACGCACACGGTTCCCGCACTGACTGTTCCTTTCTTTCTCACTCTAATCAAAATTTCCTTCGATGAGTGAGAAAACAGCACCCCGTCAAGGCGAGCGAGAAAACGAATTGCCAGATCATTGCACACAAAACCAACTTGAATTAATTTAAAACAAAAATACTAGCGAACCTGGCGGTGAGGGGCGCAAGGTGGACGTAAATTCTATTACAGAGAACCACATTATTTTAATTAATTTCTTCGGAGAAAGTCGTCTGTCACTTCGTTTGTGATATTACCGAACTAAAAGGTAAGGGAAAATTAATTAATTTGAAGATTATAAGCACCTGTTTGCTAATCAATATTTAATATGCAACAGCTGAAACTGCGCAAGCTAGGAATGCCTACGACTAAAAACACTTTATACAAAGACTTGCGGATGTAAAAACAGTAGAACTAGCAACCAGCGAAAATAACAACAAAAGCTACTTAAAAACTGGCCTCACTGCAAATCATGCAAACTTCACATGAACGCTTGATAATGTTTGTTTTGATATCGTAGAAAAAAAATTTCGCTTCAACGTCATCAGGCAACCGTTTTTTTTTTAATGGAAAAAATCATCCAACGCGTTGTAAATCAGTGGAAATGAACTGTTTTTATAAATATTGTGGAAATAACTCCCGAAGTGGAATGCGTTTCGTGGCGTTTTTTCGTTTTCCTCGCAGCGAATCAGAGCGCAAAAAGTGCCTATCGTTTTGTGAGCTTCCGGAGGATTTAAAAATTTTGGGAAGCCATCGTTTGTGCAGTGTTAGTATTTAGACAAAATGGTGAAAAGAGTTATTATCTCATTAAATTATACAATTTTAGTTGCATTTTGCCGAATGTGAACTGTACATGGATTCCAGCGGTAAGGTGCGAAAAATCAAAAGTGCTGTTCCTGTTTACAAGACGGTAGCCCAACTGAGTCAGCGAAAACGTAAAAAGAACGATTTCAACGAAAGTAGTATCAGCACCACACTTGCCAGAATGTCACAATACATCGGCATGGAACACTGCACAGCTGCACTTTTTGACAGCTCGTTTGGTTGCATAAAACAAATCTTCGCAAGTCTTTGTATAAAGTGTTTTTACCTACGACGCAATCGGATTTATGTTTGAAGAGGTGTTGCTAAATTTAACATACTGAAATCCTTTAAGGAATTTATAACATCGTTTACTTTCGGAATAAATGTTCATGAATTCGGTAAATTCTGGCGACGTCCGCAACTTTTATTCGAACAACATCATTATTTCATACATCAGCTTGAATTACGTTGATCGATATTACATTTTTTGTTGCTGTGCATAAGGCAGTACAAAGTGAAAATCGCATAAAATACCTGATTTTTTACCTGCATCAAAAATGTAGTTGATAAAGATTTCAGTTCGCTTGGGACTGTAAACAGTTTACAGTAAAATTACGTTTAATTTTTTCACGCATGCAGCTGCCCGTGAAAAGCACAGTTGGAGAAAGAGCGTATCTGTTAGATTTTCACTTCACCGGAGGTGTAAACTGATCGATTTCACTTCACGTGAACTGTGAACTGCGAAAATAGCAAATTAAAAAATGTTCCACAACCAGTTTTTCGCCGTTTTTTTATAACTTTTTTTCGGTAGCGAAATTTTATCACTTTTCACTTGCTTCAAATTTCACTTCCCTTCGATCTGTATACTAGCCCAGACTGAGCAGCTCGCTGAACAGTTATAACCAGCAGGGCCTATTCCTATCTGTGCCATTTATTTTGACAGATTATTTTATCAAATTTTGGTCTCACCGAGTGTATCACCGATTTTGGTCTACTTAACAGTGCATTTAACACTTCTTGATATGTTTCCGCTCGCTGTTGCCAAGGATTTGATGGCGATTGATTATTTACTTTGAAGAAGATTTTGCTAAGAATCCCGTTACAATCCCTGTAACCAAATAAAGATTGAAAATATTGCTGATTGCATCTGAAACTGGACTGCCCCAAAAATCCAAAAAGTGTGATAAAAGTGCACCTTTGCGTCAAATCGTTTTGGTGTCTTCGGCGCACTTATTGCTTGCTTCATAAGAAATAAGTGCACCGAAGACACCAAGACGATTAGACGGAAGCTCCACTTTAATAACACTTTTTAATAAGTGAAAACGCGCTTATTAGTCCAGTTTGGTGTGAAATGCGCAATAATAATTTAAATAGGGGAAATGTTGATTTCGGCAATACTTTAACCTATTATCGTCAGGGGGTAAACAAAGTCCTAGAGCACTCAAATTTGGCCAATAGATGCTCTGAAACATAATGTATCCACATTCCAAAATTGAGCTCTCAAGGACGTTGCTTACCCCGAAGGGGACGACTCTATCTACGATGCAGAAAAGATTGTGTTGTACTGTGGCTAGCTGAACACACGCTGAGTAGATAGAAGGAAGATTTATGTCAATTTTGAAGATTTCCTGCAAAAAGATGAAGCGCGATGCGAGTAGATGCGAGAAATGAAAGAATATATTTTTTGAAGATGGATTCGCTAGTGTGAGATTTTTTGAGCATCTAGAATTGAGATTTAGTTGTGTCGCCCCCCTTGGTTTACCCCCTGATGATAATAGGTTAAGGTATTACCGAATATGATGATAATAGGTTAATATCCCGTTCACATTACAGCGTATATCACGTGATATACGCTGTCTTGCAATGAGCACTCATACATCTAGTTTTCACTGGAAATCCTATGTATGAGTGCTCATTGTAAGACAGCGTATATTACGTGATATACGCTGTAATGTGAACGGGGTATAAGGTAAAGGAAAATCAATTATTTTATTCACTTATACATTTTTGCCAAAACATCAGCCTTATACATGCCATAAGACAAACCACATTGGTCCTATGAGAATGCATAACAAGTACCGTGACCCCTTATACATTTCATTTGACACATGATCTTCAATAACTTTTTGCAAGGCGTCTGCTTATTAGTTGACTTATACATTTTATGAATAATCAGCAATAGAAATATGCCAAAAGGTATAAGGAGATTTCTATCCGTGTACACCGACTCTAGATTAAACCACCATTAAACCACCGACGAACCGACATGCCATTGGAGCATTTCGTTTGTCCGCAATTCGATTTGTCAAATGAGCGATTAGATCTGTCAAACGGGCGATCAGACCTGTCAAACGAGGTGAGACACAAACCAAGTCAGTATAAATGTTACGTGTGTTCGTGTCCTTGCTCATGATATGTCGTGATCGGATGAGTAGATAGTGTTGTGTTTAACGTATTTTAAATATGGCGTCTTGGGTCGTCAAAAAGGTATATTGTGAACAAGGGTTCTCTAATAAAAATAACCATAAAAGAGAGCTTAACGACGTGTTCGGAGTATCATCCAAACCATTTGTCTGATAGTTTACCCATCCGTGATACAATTCGTTTATGGTATTTGTTTATGAGGGTTCACTTCAGTGTATAAAAATTCAGTGCTAACATTTCAAAGGGGCGTAATTGCTTTTGTAAACAATGGCTTTAGCCGTCGATTTCTCGCAAATAAAAGCCCACCCCTCCAAATTACCAATGCTAGCTGGTACAGGAAACATTCATCTACCTGCTGGTATAATTCATTTTTATGGGTGAGCTTTCATTCGCGAGAAATCGACGACTAAAACCATTGTTTACAAATGTAATTACGCCCCTTTGAAATGTTGGCACTGAATTGATTAAATTTAAATCATTGTAGAGTATCTGAAAGTTTCCGTGCACTATCATCAGAGCTTGCACCAAAATCCCACTATGAATCAACTGTGGGAATCGACTTCGGCTTGTTCAGTGGTACCAAACCTTGTTAGAAATTTAGAAAATTTGTTAACGCTCGAACTTCAAATTTTGAAATTAAAAAAAAAACTCCACAATGCATATCGTAATCGTGGAGTTAAGCGTAGTTTATAGGCACAGGTATTTAAATGGATTCACAGGCAATAAGTTTATGTTAGAATGTTGTTTTCAGTAGCAATCAGAAAATTTCTGAAAGATTTCATTTCCAAAATCATTCATTAAAGTTTATTCACCGATTCCATACTGCACTCTGGCATCACTGTTTGCATCATCCGATCGGGTCGTCAGCATAACAGGATCAGATTTTTGAAAGCAGTGAAATCGGGAACGTCAAAGTGAAGTGATTATTGAAAAAAAAGACCTTCGGAAGAAATTGTACATTATTCAAGGAAAACGCAAATAGGCTGAGCCCGTAATCCAATTAAAAGTTCCACGCCTGCCACCGTTGGCGAACTATCAAACAGTCCGAAATCCAGGATGTGGCCAAAATTAAATATAAAATATTTCCCCATTCTTACGCTACTCTGTGTGGCCATTGTGTTCCTGAGCTTGGCACCGGTTAGCGGAAGTGCCGAAAAGGAGATTCCTATCACCAAGTTCAGTCAGAATGTCGGTGGCTATGGCGCGACGATGACTTTCCTGTACTGGTAAGTCGTGTGTTTTGGCTGATGGATTATCAGGGGTTGTGTACTTTCCCTGTTATCTTCACTTCTGAGTATTTTATCTATGGAAGGGATTTGACCCATAATTATCTGTCTTATTTTCGGTTTCAGCTATTCCTGCGGTTATCGCAAGGCATTCGATGAGTACTATAACATTATTCACGAAAAGTACCCGGAGATTACGATCCGCGGTGGAAACTATGACCCACCCGGTTTCAACATGTACTTCTCGAAGGTCCTGCTGGTCACGAAGCTGCTGATGATCATCGCTCTGATGTCCAACTTCGACGTGTTTGGATTCCTTCGACAGCCGATGCCTTCGTGGTGGCGCTGGTGTACCGATAACAAGTTGTACGCCTGCATGATGATCTTTTTCCTTGGAAATATGCTGGAAGCGCAGGTGTGTATTCGGATTTTCTTTTTTTTTCTTGGGACCATCAATTGATTACGGATTAATATTTTCGCAGCTTATATCATCGGGCGCGTTTGAAATTTCGCTGAACGACGTTCCGGTTTGGTCCAAGCTGGAAACGGGTCGCATTCCTGCCCCTCAGGAGCTATTCCAGATCATTGATAGCCATTTGCAGTTCTCCGATAAGATTGAGCAGAATCCTGATTTTGTCAAATAAGTTCACTCCGGACCCACAACTATTGGGCTGCTACTCGCTGAACTACTGTAGTAGTAGTAGTAGGGTTTCACTATTTTCAAGTCATTGCTCATATTGTAAAATTAGTTGGGATTTTAATGTTAAGTGACTTTTCGTGTTTTTTTTTTTGTTTAATTCAGCTAGTCTTTTGAGCTAAAAGATAACCAGAAGCAATCTATTTCCTACTTTTTGCTGACCATTTAGTAGATTTCTTATTTTCTAGCGATTAATATGTGTTCCAATCAACTTGATGCTAATTGTTCTATATTTTAAAACTTAAAAATCTGATAAACTATTGTCGAAAACGATAAACTATTTGCAAGTCATTACCAAAAAAATCTTAAGGGTGAATCAAACATATTGGAAGTAATTTGTAAGGAATGTAATATGTTACTCGTTGTGGAGGATTGTAAAATGAAAACATTTTGGTACGTAGTGAAACTCAGTAATCAATAATAAAGATCAAGGGTATGTATAAAGTGAAGGTAAAATTTGAGAATAAACAAATCGAAATAAATCAAACACTTAAGTTATTTTGAATTGACCAAAGGGTAAAAGTCTCTCGAGTAATTGAATCATTTATTTGAGAAACCGCATAAATCATATTTTTTTTATCAAAAAATATATTCTGGGTCCTCTTAGATTAACTCACCTTCTCAACAAATATCAGAATAGTTGGATGAGGGAATCCATTTTAAATTAGGGTCCAAATATTAATTTGTAGAGTAACCACATAGAACCTCGGTTCGGTTGTTTGCTGTTTTCCAGCATTTGTATGACATGGAATTATGTGGATTCTCAAATAAATGATTTAATTATGATGATGATCCTTATCCTATTTAAGTTCGAAATGTATTTTTCTGCATGTTCACTTTGACGTAGAACTACGTCTTTGTCGACTATACTGGGGTGCAAATCAAAAAATTTGTGTGATAAAATAGTGTTAGGTTTTGAACGCGTGTAACTTTGTCATTTGTAAATGAAATTAAAATCCTTGTACGCCAAAGTATAGGATATTACATTACAAATCTGCGGAAATAAATATTTTTCCAATTTTCCATAAAAAACTTTTGAAAAATGTACAAATGATAATTTTATCACTGTTTTCATAAAATAAACGTTTTTCCCAAACCCAGTCGTCATAATCGAGTACCACTTAGTTGCACATAATTCTGCTTGAAACTGAAAAGATATAAAACAGTGCTGCTGTCGTGCCTCTGCTCAACGAGAATCACCATTAGCTGCTTGAACGTTAAGCAGTACAATTCGGTCTTTGCTCGCTCTCTCGAGTTGTTCGATAAACCTATAGTTTGTTAGAAACGTTCGCAGATATACTGCACGTCGCGTCGTCAGTAGTGTCGGTCGCATCGCGTGATGGGAAGATAGCGCTCCCGGAGCAGACTTCGTGACCAAGCGGAGAAGAAGAACAGTGGTGAGGGTAGCCCGGTACCTACCTCAAATAGGTACGCTACTCTTCCCACCGATGTTGGGAATACCAACCCAGTCCCGGTGAAGCGGACGAAAAAGAGGAAGAAGAATCAAGGACAGTCCGATGGTACGAGCGGACGCGATGATTTTAATGCGACGAACGCCAGCGACATCGGTAATTTCGGCAACGCCGTCGAAAATTCTGCCGGCCCGAGTGCAGCGAAAATCAAGCTTCCTCCACTGGTGGTGAAGCAAGTACCACTCAACACGCTGATTGGCGATCTCTCATCGCTGGGCGTTGCAGCTGAGTTTAAGCTCGGCAGGATCGGCACCAAGGTGATGCTGCGAACAAAAGCGGAGTACGAAGTGGCCGTGATATATCTGAAGGATTCCAAGGCGGAATTCGTCACGCACGACATCCCCGGTGAGAAGCCCTTCAAGGTAGTCATCAGGGGTCTACCAAACTTCGACCCCAAGATGGTCGAAGCTGAAATCAACCGGTACAAGCTAGCCCCAATCGCTGTCTTCCGAATGACAAGGAGAGACGAAAACGTGAAGGCGTACCCGGATTGTCTCTTCCTGGTGCACTTCCAGAAAGGGACGGTGACTCTCAATGCGCTGCAAGCCATCCGATCGATCTACTCCATCATCGTACGGTGAGAGCCATAGCCGTGGTGGCCATCGTGACGTAACGCAGTGCCAGCGGTGCCTCAATTTTGGACACGGTACCCGCAACTGCAACATCAAGCCACGCTGCAGCAACTGCGCTCAAGAACACGCCACTTCCAACTGCCCTGCGGATGGAGCCGTGGCGTTAAAATGCACCAACTGTGGTGGTGCTCATCACGGTTTCGACAGACAGTTCTCCAAACGCGAGGACTTCAAACGCATCCGAAAACAGGTGGCAACTAACAACCAACCAGGACGCAAGAAGGACAAAGTCCCGGCATTTCAGACGGAGGATTTCCCACCTCTTCGTGCTCCTCGGCAAAGGAAAGCGAATTTGCGGGTGCATCCCGCTCAAGCAACTTCCGGTGATTCTGCTGGCCAAAGCTCTCCATTCCCCCCTGGGTTCTGGAGACAACCAACAGCGCAAAACAACAACCCCGATCTGTTCTCAGCGGATAAACTGATGGAAATTTTCATCAACATGTCCGGTGCTCTTCGTAAGTGCCGCAATAAGCCCGAACAGATCCAAGTGCTCGGTAAGTTCATCATCCAGTATGGCGTCTAAACCGCTAACTATCGTCACCTGGATTGAGATTGAGCTTGCCGACTTCCTCCGCAAGCACAGCATCGACGTGGGCCTTCTAACCGAGACCCATCTCGGTTACAGCTTCTGGTTGCCTGACCACAACATTATCCGGCTTGATCGCACCAGCTCCAGGGGGGGGGGGGGGGGTCATAGAGGTAACTCTAAGACCACTGGGTCCCGAAGAAAATCATTATTATTTTTGGCTCACTCAGTACCATAACAACGGTCCCAAGCAGTCCCAAGCTATTTCACTCACCCCTGCATCAACAATCAATACGAAACTAACGATTTTAAATTGGCTCACCACTTTAGTAGCCTATTGGTCCCAAGCAAACGATTAACGTACCCTATTCTAGTCGAAATTCTAGTACTACGCAATGTTTGTTTTGATTCGCTATGAAAGTTTGACAGATAAAATGAGGGGTTATTGGTTTTTCCTGTTCTAGTCTTAGAGTTACCTCTATGCTTCTATCATCGAGGCCGTTAGTGTGGAGGTGGAATCACCAACTGCAAACGTCAGGTTTATCGCAGTTTTCTGCCCACGTCAGTGTACCACAAGCAACGGCCTAGGCATCCAATTCAAAAACGACCTGACCGCCATCACTCGTACTAGCTCCCGATTCATCGTTGGGGGCGACCTGAACGCCCGCCATGAAGCTTGGCGGAACTACCAGAGGAACCGGAACGGATGTCTATTGTTCGACCTTGCACAACATGGACTGTACACTGTGCAATTTCCGGACGAACCAACTTTCATCTCTCCGGCGGGAAATCCTTCCACGCTGGACTTTTTCCTGTCAAACATCGGACTATCCAAGCCGGAGGCGCACAACGATCTCAGCTCCGACCACCAACCGGTGGTGACTGAAGTCGGTGCCAACGTGGTTCCTGCTAGAAGCTGCCTGCGTAAAGACTACCACCCTGTCAACTGGGTGCAGTACCGACGAATGGTGGACAGCAACATCGATGAAAATCCACTGCTCAACACCGTAGATGACATCGACCGGGCGTTGGAAGGACTCCAACAGGCCATATCCATGGCTGACGAGGCATACGTTCGACAAGTTCCTGTGAGGGGTAAGTTTGTTGCTATTAATTCCCACACCCAATTACTGATTCGGTTGAGAAATGTTCGTAGACGACAGTTTCAGAGGACTGGAGATTTGGGCAAAAAACGCGAAACGGCCGATCTGAACAGGCAGATTGCTTCCAGAATGGACTCACTCCGAAATGAAAGTTTCGGCCGTGTTGTCCAGAATCGGGATGACCGCTCCAGACCATTCTGGAAGGTAGCCAAGGTCCTGAGAACTCATCCCAAACCCGTTCCACCTCTCAGAGTCGAAAATGATGACGATCGGCTTTTTATCACCCCACAGGAGAAAGCAAATGCGATCGGCGAGCATGTCGCTTCATCGCATTTGCTTGACTCGACTATCCAAAGTCCGCTCGATGATCAGGTTGCGCAATGCATTCAAAACCTAGATACCTCCCCTTGTGTTGTGCCTCCGGCGGATATGATTACAGTACATCAGATTTGCTCAGCGCTGAAATGCACCAAGAACATGAAGGCTCCCGGGTTTGACGGTATACTCAACTTGATCTTGAAGAGACTCAGCATGAAAGTGCAGTCTCTTCTAACCGCTATCTTCAACAGATGTTTGGAACTGCACTACTTTCCAAGCATCTGGAAAGTAGCAAAAATCATACCAATCCGCAAACCCGGTAAGGATCCAACATTGTCTTCAAGCTACAGACCAATCAGCCTCCTTTCAGCGCTGAGCAAGGAGGAAAACAACATTCTCCTTCCGGAACAGTTTAGATTCAGAAAGGGGCACTCCACCAATCACCAGCTAGTACGGGTGATGAATAACATCCGAAGTAACAAAGCTGTATCCAAGTCCATAGCCATGGCCTTGCTAGACGTTGAAAAGGCGTTTGACAATGTTTGGCATGACGGACTTGTGTACAAGCTTTGTAACTTCAACTTTCCTTCACATCTGGATAAAATCACCCGTAACTACCTCCAGCAAAGGTCGTTTAAGGTATCGTTGAATGGTTGTCTTTCAGACACGTTTTCCATCCCAGCAGGAGTCCCGCAAGGCAGTCTGTTGGGCCCGTTGCTTTACAGCATCTACACTTCCGACATTCCTCCCCTTGGAGACGGTTGCGTGTTTTCCCTGTTCGCAGATGATACCGCAATAGCCGTCAAAGGAAGGATTCCTCGCGAAATAACGAACAAACTTCAACGATGCCTTAACGCCTTTAGGTGGAAAATTAAAATCAATCCCTCCAAAACACAAGCGGTCATGTTTCTCCATCGGCAATCGCCCAAACTGAAACCGGCTCCATCTTGTACTGTAATCATGGATGGCACAAGGGTTGAGTGGTCTGCCGAAGTTACCTATCTCGGGATGTTGTTCGATGAAAAGCTCCTCTTCCGTTCGTATGTAGAGAAAACTGTACTCAAGTGTTCTACCTTGGTTAGGTGTCTGTATCCACTGATTTGCCGCAGATCCCGCCTCTCAAGGGTGAACAAACTGGCTGTCTACAATCAAATAATAGCACCTGCGATCCTCTACGCAGCTCCGGTGTGGGAATCATGTGCACAGACTCACAGGAACAAAATTCAGGTCACTCAGAATAGAGTGCTGAGGATGGTTCTTGATCGTCCTTTCGACACTATTTATAATATATTTCTATAGAATAACAAATTTACATGAAGAGTCAGGCATTGCCAAAATAGATTCAAGAATTAACGAAATTAAACAAGCTACAATTAAATAATAATGATTTTTCCCCATACAGTTTTACCTGATTTACTACCAGCTCCCAG